TACAATGATCAGACTTTTTGTACAATATGAAACTTTTCCTTTCCAGTGTATTTCAATGTTTGTTGAATTGTGTTTTCCACACAGCATAAGGCTTTCAGAGCTCTTTCAGAAAATAACAGATACTAGATTGGCATGTCCAAAGTACCTTAGTGACTGTTCATTCTCATTTACTATGTTATATCTAATCTGAGTATTTCTCCCCCAAACTGTCTTTAAATAGTACTTTATAAATTATTTTCCCCTTGTTTTTTGTCACTTTAATTGTCCCAAATTCCTTGAAAAGATCTGTTTTTCTTCAGTTTCTCCCACACCAAAGAATATAACACAACACTCAGTGCAAATTAACACACTATTATCTTTAACAAAGTTGATTATCTGTGAATCATGTTAGTCTGCATGACTACATTAAAGCATTATGCAAATTGGATCTTTTGTTTCTTCCTTTTCTACACAAAAGGAGGATTGTTTAGGAATAAGTAACAGTGAAGATTGATTAGACATTACAACTCATTATACCACAATAATAATCAAGACAATAATTGAAACTTTCACAGATAGAAGACATTGGGTGTATACTAAGAAATGGTACAATAAAAACTTTAAGACACTAAAGAAATAAATTGAAGAAAATACTAGAAAATGGAAAGACCTCACATGCATGTGGATTGACAAAATTAATATTATGAAAATGACCATGCAATAAAAATCAATTTCAGATTCAATGCAATCAAAATAATATTTTCAAACATAATTCTTCACAGAAACTGATGACAATGCTTACAATCATGCAGAAACATAAAAGAACGAAGACAATAAAATACTGCTAGAGGTATTACCAACTCTGGTTTCAAGTTATACCTCAAATTGTAGTAATAACATCAGCATGATTCTAGCATAAAAATCAGTACACTGATCAATAAAATAGACTTGAGGACACTTGTTTTTTCAGTCACCTGATTTTTGATGAAGAGATTTAAAAAGTACACAGTGAGCAAAAGAGGACATCTTCAATGAATGGTCCTGGTCAAACTGAATAGCTACATGTAGAAGAGTAAAATTAGATTGCCCTTCCTCACTCTACCCAGGACTCAACTTCAAATGGACCAAAGACTTTACATGATACCCTGAAATTTATGGAGCACAACATCGGGAATATAATTTAAGACATAGGCACAGAAAATGACTTTCTAAATAAGCCTCTAGTAGTTTTAAGAGTAACAACTGATAAATGGGATTTTATGAACCAGAAAAGCTTCAGTATAGCAAACATACTGTCTCTTGAGTAAATAGGCAGCCGACAGAATGGGAGAAATGTTTACCAAATGTTTACCTGACAAGCGTTCAGTGCCTAGAATATGCAAATGTTGTGCCCGTTTCACGAGACCACCAAGGAGCCGTTTTCTGACACAAGCACATAAGGGTACTTTTTATTCAGGTTCACCCTGGGCCACCGAAAAGCAGATGGAAGGAAATGTGGCAGCAACCATGAGCCCAGGTGTAGAGGGTTTTTATAGGAAAAAACCACAGGCCGGGAATTGGCAATTTGGGATTGGGTAGAAGGGACAAGGCGATTTTTTGAAACTATTGGTCTAGTCATTGGGCCTGAAACCACATTTAAAACCATTGGGTTAGACTTTGGGTGGGGAACCACAACCTGCTGAACAGGATTATCTGGACTGCTCAGTAGGATTATCTTTAAGAGCCATAAACCACAGACAAGATGTCTGAAGGAGGATACTTCTCTGTATCCATTCAAGTTGTAAAGTTAAGTCTAGGCTTTCACACATAGAACTCAAAAAGATACACACTAAAAATAATAATAGTAATAAAACTTGGAGCGTATAATTAGACAGAAAGTTCTCAAAAGAAATACAAATGACTTAGACTTTTTTTTTATTTTCAACATCCTTAGCCACCAGTGAAATGTAAATTAAAATTACTTTCAAATTTCAACTTACCCAACTCAGCATATTTAATATTTGAACACAAATGACCAAAATGATGGCATGGATATTGGAAAAAGGGAAAGTTGGTATAGCCATTATAGATATCAATATGGAAGTTCCTCAAAAAATACTGTAAAGATATTATATAATCCATTTATACTATTCCTGAAAAAGGTTCCACTGTAGTAAAAATGCTACAGTAATACAATAGCAAAGAAATGGAAATAGTCTAGATATTAATTAACTGATAAGTGGATAATGAAAGCATGATACATGTACACAAAAGGATATTATTCATCTATAGAAAAAAATAAAGTTATAAAATTCACATGTAACTGCAAAGAGATGGAAATAATTATTGTGTTCTCTCTCATACACAGTTGCTAGTTTTCACTCTTTAGATATGTACTTAATATTGGAGCACCTATAGAAGTCAGTAAAGTAGTTAGGTGAAATGAAGGGATTGTAGTTGGAGTTTTCTCCCCAGGTCCTGCCAAACCCCAGCCATCCAACAGCTCACTTATAAAATAAACACACAGATGCTTATATTATTTAAACTGTTTGGCCTAATGGCTCAGGCTTCTAGCTATCTAGTTCTTACATCTTAAATTAATCAATTTCTATAAATCTATACCTGGCTTACGGGTGTCTTCACATGCTGCTTGTCATGGCGGTAGCAGCTGGCAGTGTCTCCCTCCGCCTTCCTGTTCTCTCAATTCTCCTCTCTGTTAGTCCCACCTATACTTCCTGCCTGGCCACTGGACAATCAGTGTTTTATTTATTGACCAATCAGAGCAACATACAGACCATCCCACAGCAAGGTATAATTAAAGGAAGAGAAGAGAAAATGCACATGAACAGGAAAGGAGGGATAATAGAACAAGAAGGATTTTGGGGGGATTGATAAGAGGATATGGTAGAGACAGAGGTGTAGAGAGGTAATTATCATCAAATCCCTTTGAAGATGCATATGGAAACCTGCTACTATAGAAGCTTTCTAAAATAAACACATTAATAGAAGTAGTTTAAAGGGAATTACCCTATAATGGAGGGAAAATACCTTTCCCAGGCATAAGCTATCAATCAACTAACAAGCCTAGGGCCAGGAATGAGGATTTAAAACATGTTCTACAGGATGGAACCCATATTAGGTACCCAAACACTCATGTCTGGCAAGGCCATAGCCCTAGTGGAGAACCTAGTGCTATTATTCTCCTAAATGGACATAGTAATAAACTTTATATTGCTTTCTTTATACTAATGGATTAGCACATCTCTCAGTTCTCATCAGAAAACTACTTCAGTAGGTGATGATTACAACAGAGACAAATGTCAGTATGAAGAGAATAAGTGACTGTGGCATGCTTAGTTCAAAATGAAACACCTATCTCACAACTCTTTCCCAAGACTCTAGAAGCATCATGGAAGAGGCAATAGAAAGACTGCTAAATTCAGAAGTAAAGGACATTTCCTAAGAATAGTTGCCCAATATGAAAAAGCCATTGCATTCGTGAACTGATAGTGGCTGTGACTACCTGCCCAAGATCAAGACAGACAAAATCCCTGAATATACCTGGAGAGAAGCATTAAGTCCAGTTGTCAGCTGAAGGGATATTTGCAATTAATGGCTGCTAGAGAAGAGAGGGCCAGTTTTCTCAGGGATGTGCATTCTGTATGAGTTTCTCAGTCCATCCTTAATGCACAGAAGTGTAGTTGTTAAAAATGGTAAGTTAAGGACTGGAGAGATGGCTCAGAGGTTAAGAGCACTGACTGTTCCTCCAGAGGTCCTGAGTTCAATTCCCAGCACCCACATGGTGGCTCACAACCATCTGTAATGAGATCTGGCACCCTCTTCTGTATACATAATAAATAAATAAATCTTAAAAAAAATGATAAGTTAAAAAGACATTTATGGAAGAGTTTGTAGATCAAGGCAAAGGATTATAAGTGAGTCCTGAAGGCAAACCCACAAATTAATATTTTATATATATATATATATATATATATATATATATATATATATATATATATATATATATATGTGTGTGACTGAGTGTTCTTCATTCTGACTTCTCTAGGGAATTTGGATCAATTAAAAATCATGCAAAGACTGTTTAAATCCAGTGTGATGGCTTAGCCAGGAAAAATATTTTCCACCAAACCTAAAAACCAAAGTTTGATCCTTGGCACCCACAGGGTGGAATGAAAGTACCTACTCCTGAAAGTTATCCTATAACCTTTACATGTATAGATAAACAAACATGTCTCCCACCATGAAAATAAATAAATAAATAGATTAATTAATTAATGGATAAAAATGTTAAACAATTAATAAATATAAGTAATAGAAAAAAGTTACCCAAAAGAATACTTATGTTGTCTTAAAGAGTGCACAACAAAAAGTTTTATATTTAAAAATATTCATAATTTGGTTTCCAAAAGAATACGGTGTCTATTTTGAATGAAATTCTAAGTGAATTCACTGATTGATTTACAACCCTAAGTGTGTAACCAATAAAGAGCTCATGTGCTGAATGTGCTAAAAAACTACTACAAATCAAAAAGAAAATTCAATTCAGTTAACAAATGTACAAGAATTTGACATGTGCCCAAAGAGAAATGTGAACACCAAGCTGCCACAAATCCTTTGATCTACGATGGTGTTCCTCCAGCAAGATATGCTAGAGCAATGGTGGGACAAAGCATGTTGGAGTAGCAACAATAACTGCTTTGACTTAAACCCCATTCCTCAAAATTGAACCCATAATTGCCATTGCTTGGGTGACCAAGAATCAGAGACTATAAAGGAAAAGGATCTAGAGTAAAGCCAAATACCACTGGTTTAAAAAAAACCGCAATTTTTAAAAAGTAGTGGTAAAATAACTTCTAATGACATTCAGCTATACTCATAGATCAATGCCTTTTTCAGGTATTTGTTCCCATCGGCCACAAAAAGCTCCCTCCTAAAGGAAATGAGAATAACTCCAGAACCCACAGCCAGACATCATGCAGAGAGTGAGAAAAATTGGAACACTCAGCCCTAAGTGAAATGTCCCCATCAAATTATTCCCCTCAGAGCTCAGAAAACTTCACACAAGAGGAAGCAGAAGAGTGTGAGACCCAGAAGGAATGAGGGACACCAGGAAAACAAAGCCCTGTAAGTCAACATGAGCAAAGCTCATATGAACTCACAGAGACTGAAGCAGCATGCACAGGAACTTCCCTGGTCTGTGCCAGGTCCTCTGTGTATGTATTATAGTTTCCAGTTTACTGTTGTTATGGGATTCCTGAGTGTGCGACAAGTAGATCTCTGATTCTTGTGATTTCTCTTGGAATAATTTTCTTCTGTTGGTTTGTCTTGTCCAACTTCAATGCAAAAGTTCATTTTTTTAAAATTTTTTATTGTTTGTTTTGTTGTTATCTCCTAGAAACCTGGTCTTTTCTTATGAGAGACAGAAAGGGAGTGGGTGCAGGTGAGAGGGGTAGTGGGCAGAAACTGGAAGTAGAGAGAGGAGAACTTGTAATCAGGACATATTGTGTGAGAAAATAGTCTCTTGTCAACAAAGGAAAAAACTGATAAGAAACTTTAACAGGGCTCTCACAAGTGAATATTTTCAAGTAGACAAAAACCATAGCATCATATTAGTATTTTCATGAGAATTGCAATCAAAATCCAGGTAAGTCTCTGTCCTAATGGAAATTTACCTTACTGAGTATCAGAAATGGTTTGAACGGGAAGAAGTCCCAAAGCCACCATTTGTGCTAGGAGATTTAACATTGACAATGTCCATACTAATCCTAGTTAGTAATAAAACATACTGGGCTGCCTTCTGAAGCAAGCATAAGAATCATCACGCCAGCTTTACCTATAATTACCCAAAGCTGAAAAAATACGATTATTCAGATTTTCATTTTATAATAGATCGTTTAGCTCCACATTTGTGTTTTATTCACTTTGATGTGTGTTATATCTCTTTTTACGTAGTGGCGGAAGGTTACAATGATAAGATATAATCTATATACTGAAAAATTACTTTCCCCATTAATTCATTTCAGATGAATGCAAAATTTCAATAGTGGCAATCTTGTTACAGTTCAGTAGTGGTGATTACTTTTCCTCCTACTGTGGGAATATATAAATGTCCAAAACTAATTTGATTGAACTAATAATGCTACAAATAGCTTGCAACCAAATCCTGATATAAGATAATTAAAATGCCAGTAGAATGGATTGTACTATCCATAGACCAGATATTCAGGCTAATAAAGTTATGTCTTAAGTTCAACTTACAGTGAGTGATAACTTGAATTAGTGTCCACTGTGTTAATCTTAAATGGTTAAGAGATAAAATTAACCTTGTTTCTCTCAGAAAATATTTTCATTTATACAATCTTTAATCAATCCAAATAACAAAGTAGATTCAGTAAGCACTATATATTAAAAACAAAGATACAATAAAAACAATGATGAATAGGAATTCTACCTAATAATGTTTCTAAATGTTTAAACAAGAAAGAGAGAAAAGGTGTAATTGTGGGAAGACAGAAAATGAGGTAGCTTAAAATTTATATCAAACAGTGGTTTCCAAAATCTATATCATCAACAAGGCAACATTCTGTATCATTCTTTATCCAAGGAACAAAATGAAAGGCATCTCTAAACCCACAGACAATAAAAGTTTCATATTTATCATTTATTTTAAACTCCTAACAATCAAAACGAAAAATCCAATAAGAAGAATGACAGGAGACCAGAGCAGACCCATCTAAGGGAGGGGGGCAAAAGGACAATAAATAGCAATTACCTCATCAGTCATTAAGAAAGTTACAATTCAGAACACAATGGAATATCTAATGAGGACGAGAGTGAATTAGTGACTTCCACCTAGTGCATTTGACAAAGTAATTAATGAGCTAGAGTTAAAAATGAAAGGGTCAAGAAACTGAATTTAAAACAAAGAAATACTAAAAATTTTAGTACAACCAAGCTACTATTTACAAAACATAAAATGGATAAATTTAGTAAAGGGTAGGGTCCAAGAAAGTGAGAAAATTAAGTAGTTGTTTTTTTGAAGAAATGGATATATATTTCCATTAGGGTAGCCAGACTCCTAAGGATTCTAAAAGACCTTGTATACAGGAAACTAAACAATTTCTTCAAGGAACTCCATGGGAAATAATGTTAGGAGAGATGAAAGATATAGAAAAAATGGAGAATAATAGGTCAGTTTTGTAGATATTGTTATCAAAACAGATATATAATAGAATATAACTCACCCTATAATTTTCAAGAAAGAAAATTCTGGTCTTTTGCCTGATCATCTTATGTGACTATTATTTTTAGAATCACTTATTTCCCCTGAGTGAAAAACACACACAGACATAGATGGATTTTTACCTCCTACTCTCAACCTACAAATGAAGAATCACAGATAAACCTTAAGAAATTCATGGAAACAATAGCACAGCCGTGGAAGGTTATTTTATAATTGTACATTGAAAATTTCTAAATGAAGATACTGTTTTTGGACCACAAGAAACAAATTAGCATACATTGAAATTTAGAAATATTAGTTCCCATGATTTCAATCATATAAATCCAAAACTGGCACACAAAAAAATTAGACAGAAGAGTCAATGTATTACCTATGTGCAATATATCCAAGGAACTCTCCTTTCTGCACATGTGTTACCTGCTTTCTGGCAGAGTCTACTAAAACTATATGTTACATACATGTAGATGAGCTAAATGAGACTCACGAAGGTTAAACTAATCGGAGTCACGTAATATTAAATATTACAATAAGAAAGTCATGATAGTTGTGGAAGATATGTACACTCATTTTCACTCTTTCGTTAAAGAGCTAACATCTTTCAAATGAGAAAAACTAAGAACCCTGTGTAGTCAAGAGTATGACAGTCATGCATGGGATGCAAAATGCTCTTTCTATGGCCAACATTTTTTAAATTACCACTGTTCTGCTTTCTATTCAGCCTCAAAGTCTGCAATTACAGTGCAAAAATCTTAGATAAAATGAGCATCACAATAATTCTCCAGGTACTGAGTGGAGTCTTTGAGAGTCTAAGTATCTTTGGAGAATAGCCAAGGAAAGGGCTGAACAAGCTATTTCACTATTTTTATTATTTCCTAGTGATCGTTTTTCAGTTTCTAAATAGATTCAGAGTATGAACATTATCAAGGTCAAATTTCTGTCAATAGTGGTTGTGATAATACTAATAACATATGATAAAATAGTTTTTCAAACACTTATTTGACATATTAGACCATAAGTCCAAACTACTAAAATTCAGGGGTAGATTTCAATATATTATTATGAACATTAATTTGGCAAATATACAACATGATCCTACTCTGTATCAATAATATGGCATATTTTAGGCTCACTGAATCAAATAAACTTAATCTTCCAAGTATGAAATTAGGAAAAGTAAAACTACTAGTTCAATAAAATCTTTTCTGTATGCATTTTTAATTGCCTGTCTTTCAACTCTCATGGCCATTATTATAAAGATATAGTCCTGAAAAAAATATCATGTGCAGTGTCTCTCCCCATCTCCTTTTCTTAGAAAAGTCAACCTACTCAGCTTTGGAAAGCTTTAATTCATCTTCTGGTCTAAGTCATTGGGAAAGATAATGTAGTGGGAATTCATTCCACCAATTAGTTTTGAGGTATAAGCCTTAGGGCATGGTTTCTGATCTGCATAAGTGATCACTTAAAAGAAGGTCACGGGCCCTCTTCTTCCTTTGGTGTATTCAGAGGCTGGATCCATTCGTTCTCAGGAAGAACAGACAGTGGCCGTTCACCTGGTTCTTTCTTCGTGAGTGTATCTTCCCATTTATTACATTTAATAAATTGTTGTTACCCCCTCAAACAGACTCACCTGGGTGGATTTCTCATAATAAAATACCACTGTTATTTCCTTTATGATTAATGATTATAATTGATGAATGAGTGAAGCTTGAGGCTCAGGTAGAGAAGACTCTGGTATGATGAATTATATTGTGTATGGTCCACACGCTGGTCCCAAAGTGTAATGAAAGTTCTCTTTCAGGTATTCATCAAAGTCACGGGTATTAATATCACAACTACTTAATTAGGCCATAAATACCTAATCATCTTGAATTTTTCATCAAAATCCAAAAGATAGGCTTCATCTTAAGTGGCTTTAGGACACAATGTCTTGATATGTGACCCTGAGTCACTTAGAACCCATCACTCCAACACCACTGGAAGTCATTAAATTGAAGGAAGAATTGACATATTGGCTCTTACAGTTTAGTTGGGATTTTTGTTTGTTTGTGTTTGTTTTGTTTTATTTTGTTTTGTTTTCCTTTTGTTGGAAATATATTTTTTCTCACATAATATATCCTGATTATGGGTTCCCCTTCCTCCTCTCAGTTCCTCCCCACCTCCCCACCAGCCTACAAATTTGGGTACCCTTCTGTTTGGTGCATAGATTCCAAGATTTTCAATGTCCTCTTGGTGTATTTCTCCTCTGATGAGTATGTAGTTTCCTTTGCTACCTCTTCTGATTAGTTTTGGTTTGAGTCTATTTTGTCAGATATTAAAATGGCTAGTGTAGCTTGCTTCTTAGGTCCATTTGCTTGGAATATCATTTTCCATCCTTTCATTCACTGTGAGGTAATGTCTATCCTGATAATAAAGACTATTTCTTGGATGTAGAAGAATTGCAGATATTATTTTCACATCCATTCTGTTAAACTGTATCTTTTTTATTGGGAATCAAGAACATTGGTCTCTATAGACATCCAGCAGGATCTGCTTGGTCTCCTGGGAACAATGGGGGCAAGGGACAGGCCACAGCAAAAGGTCTTCTACAGAGTTCAGGATGAGCTGGTGTTGAACTTGTAGGATTAGAGGGAGTGGTGAAGATCTATCTGCAGTCAGCCTCCCTGTATTGCTGTTCATAGTGGGTTGTGCATTGCCAGATACACATCATAATATTCATATTGACTTTAGGAAAACAACAGAAAATTGAAATTCCCTCTTTCCATTCCATCGCTCTATTCTTTCCAAAGAGCACCACAAAAACTAATTGGGCATAGTCCTGTAGTAGACTATAACAATTTCATTTTGGGGGACTTTTTTTTAATTGCTGGAGGAAGAATATGTC